ACAGTTGTCCAGGGGCATCATATCCACTTATTTAGAGATGGACAGTCCTAGAAATTTATGTTTTATTAATATATATAACATGATCATCAATTATGTCAATTGTAGACATCGGACCCCCTATGTCTTGAAAACGCCCTCTCAAAACCTGATCACCACCCAGATTCGCAATCTACGCAAAAACTGGTCTAGAAAAACTTGGTCTCATTAATTCACAGCTGGGGTGGCAACCCCCCCCCCCCCCTCCCCTTCAGCAACCGGACTAATATGGATTCAAACTGTTACCATTAGCCTTATTGCTTTAGGTCAATGTGTACTAGATGTGTTTTATAATCCTTATGAAGTATAATTTTAAAACTTTCTTCGCATATCGCATGGCCTACTCAGGAATGACGTCAAATGGGTTATTACGAGCGGAAAGTCACTCGGGCCAAAAACCGCCGTTCTCCATTGTTATCATAAAAACTAATGTAATAAATAGTAACATTAGTAACAATGCGGACTAAACGATATTTGTGGGGAATTTGCAACAGCGATCGTAGGTATAAGCATAAAGATAACATGATCGGTGTTACTTTCTGTCCGTTTCCGAGGTCGTTGAACGACAGACACTTTTGATCAAAAAACCATGAAAAACCTTTCCATCGCGGAGAAAATGTTTCCACCGCGGAGAAAATGTTTACACCGCGGAGAAAATGTTTCCACGGCGGAGAAAATATTCACACCCCGGAGAAAATGTTTCCACCGCGGAGAAAATATTTACACCGCGGAGAAAATGTTTCCACCGCGGGGAAAATATTTACACCGCTAAGAAAAATTTACATGTTTTTTTTTTATTTATCACAGTTTTCACTGCGATTTCTCATATGAAGTAAATTTCAAGAAAAATGTATAAATCAGTGTATGGCACTAACAGGCCACCGTAATAAATGGACAGTAAGTAACGAAAAAACATTCTGAAAAATTGACCACTCCTCAATGAAATGAGCTGACTGACATGGCGTCTAACAAAGTTTATTTATAGCTTGCGGTATCTCCCGCTGAATACAAAGTTTTGAGAGTTAATTGAAACAAATTTTTGATAGATGAATTAGTTTGAATATGTTTTTAGTCCAAATATATCATCAAATCACACAGTTCGTACGCGGGAAAGTATGAAAGGAGAGCATGAAATCAATGACAATGTACCCGGAGTTGTGTATCAGTTTCCAGAATTCTTTAGGTTTCTTGCTTTGCATAAACCTTACATTAAAAGGAAATTGTTTTGTTATATATTTTTTTTCATAACTTTGTTTGTTTGTTTGTTTCTCTCAATTTACTATAATTATGAACATGTGCGTTTCATGATGTATTATAAAGTTTTCGGTAGCAGATTTCAAGTAAATATTACACAATTCATTACAGACCGTATCAATATATTTTGGTTTTTCATGTACATTTTCCTAATCCGTCAACTGGGCCAATTCTGCCATTGGCAAAAAACTCGAACAAACTAAGGGACTCGGAGAAAAACCCAACAGGTTGTACATGCAGCCCTTCTCTTTGTCACGTACAAACTTTAGATCGAAACCACGTCACTTGATTCTATACAGGCTATATGATCTAAAGCGTACGCGATAGACCACTCGCATATCGCTTTACATGAATTTGATTGGTCAGTTAAAACGGAACTCCTTTTTTATTTTCAAAGAACAGCTCATTTTTTTTATTAAAAGTAACTTCTTTTTTTTATTAAAAGTAACTTCTTTTTTTTATTAAAAGTAACTTCTTTTTTTTATATTAAAAATTAACTTTTTTTTATTTAATTGACCTTGAGGGAAACACTGAGTCAATATAAAGAACTTTGCAATGATTGAATTGTGTTGTCAAAAAATGATGTATCACTACGCCGTAATGTTATCAGGTTCAGTAAAAGGGAAATCTATAGCAAATAATTATATTTATTTATTTGTGCATGTAAGAAAGGATTAGGGGATAAATAAAATCTCCTACTCGTCTTTTTTGATATCAAAAATATCAACACTCGTTGAGATATACTAAACCCACTATAATATCTTTATTTTTAAAAACATTTTCGAATTTTAACCATAAAATATATTCAGAGCCCCGTTCAGTCAATACATTTGAACAGACTTGGTCTCACAAAACAGCATACATCACCAGATAATCTCAGATATATCTGTTTTCTGTCTTTGCGGATATATTCATAATAGTTTCAGCAATACCAACTATATTCATGAAATAAGTGATAATTCATCTTCCCTTGGACATCGTTAATTGTGGTAATTAGGTAGTGGGGAAGGTTGGGTTTCCATATAATATTCTTCTGTGGATCTTGCTTAAATTGATCTCCGTTTACCCCTTCTGTGAATCTTGCTTCAATTGATCTCTGTTTACCTACAATTGATCTCTGTTTACCTCTTCTGTAAATCTTGCTACAATTGATCTCTGTTTACCTCTTCTGTAAATCTTGCTACAATTGATCTCTATTTACCTCTTCTGTGAATCTTGCTACAACTGATCTCTATTTACACATTATTTTTTCACCGTTATGTTGACATCTCTCAATAGATATATTCTTAATCATTCCCAATTTTTTTGGGTTCTTCGTTTATTCTCCCCAAAACCCCCAGTGGATTGTCTCGCAATGATTCCCATTGAATTTCCAGAATATCTTCACGCCAGCCAGTATTTTGTGACGACATTACAACAATTTCTTTCTGTTTTTCCATCAGATTCTGTCTCAAATGACACAGATCTTTATCAATCGCCCGCTTAAAGTAGTTTGCCCAACTATAATCTCGTCGTATTTACTAATCCAAACAATACCTGACTGTTTAACATTTGGAAAATAACACTTTGTATAACAACAACATGCCGATGGCTTGCTTTATATGACAATTTACTTAATTCTTTGGTGTAGGGATATTGAGTAATCAATCAAAAATGATGGCTAAGTAAATAAATTGATTCTTGATAAATAAAACATATCATTGTTCTTTTAATTAAAAACGAACATGTCACATATTTTAGTCAATCACAGAACATACAGCAGGCGACTCGGGGATGGTTCCTATATAGGATGTCTCAATTTTTGTGTTTGGTCGACATAAACAACGGACCGATCAGAATATGACTTGTCAAAACACGAAGGGTAACAATGGTTAATTCGATTCGTTGAATAAAACATTTGTTAATCCTTAGTCTTCCAACCTATAACTGTTCAATTATTCAAAAATAACAGTGCTGATCACAGACACAATCTGGGTCATTCCCAATTGAATATACGGAACACTATTCTAAGGTCATTTGCTTGAAAAAAAATATTAAAGAATCGTAGTCGAGTGTAGCTCATGCTTGAAAGCCTGACGAATCCTTGTATTAACGTCGCTGCTCATCAACGCCATTTGCTATATCAAGACTTCCCCATTTATAAAGAGTAGAGTAATTTGTTTATTATAGTGTCACACACTGAATACAAGAATATATATACATTACATACAATATACATAAAATAATAGCAGTGTCCAGCCCATATCGACTTACGAGACAAGAAATGAAATGAAAGGAATTGGGTTTTAACATCCTACTGTTCTGCTCCTAAACTGGGCTAATGAAGACGGGCATACGCCATACAGTGTGCTATGAGGGAAATTTTGCCCGGGCAACGGCGCTACGGCCTACTCTTATATCGAATTCCAACTGCCAAGGGATCTGTTACGTGCACGCCAATGAGTACACGGGACCTCGGTTTTTCGTCCAATCCGAACGACTAGACAGCTGTCCTTGTCAGGCCCTCAGTCCTGCATCACTGACAAGGGGAAACCACGCCGGAAAATCTGGCTGAACTTTCTCGGCCACTGCAGGGATCGAACACCCGACCTCCATTCTAGCGAAGCAGCGTCTTACCAACTTAGCCACGTGATCCCCGACTTACGAGACACTTTGTTCTAAAAATCAAATCATTAAAAGTACTAAATAATTAAATAATATTAATAAAATAATACTACAAAATATTAGTATAGCGATAGCCATGTCATTTCTGGTTTTAAATATAAAGATTATTAACTATGCTATCGAATATCTCTCATTGAATAATTCATAAAGTTCAAGAGACACTTGCCTCTACATAGCCTAGTTTGATCGAAGAACACCTTTATTCATTTTCAATGCGTCTAAAGATTTTTATAAATACGAAAAAAGGTGACATTGTTTAACATAAATAATATGGGTAAGTTTATAGCTTTATTCCTATTTAGGAGAAAAGTAATATTATGTTTAGTAGTTAAATAATTTTGTTTTACCTATCAGAAAGAGACGCTTACTCTAACAAATATAACTTGACAAATTATGTAGTTTAAACCACCAGTTCAAAACACAACGCATTTTCCCTCTACAAGGATCCTGTTACAGGTGAGGATTGTTAAATCGAAATATGATCGTCTTTCTTTTGTTCATGACAACCTTCTGATTCGTCATATTTTATCAAATTTAGAAATACAATCTTTGTATCTGAACGGTGACATTTCGGTCTAATCACTCAGGGCGGATCTAGGATTTTTTGCAGGAGGGGGTTTGCCAAGCTCCTGTTAAGGAAATTTGACAGTTGACAATGCGTGATGCCATCATCGTCTCTAAATTACGTAGACATACATACGCATTGAGCTTTTTAAAGAGAGAAATCCAACGTTTGATGTCAATTTTTCTAATGAATTAATAGGATCACATTGTGATTCAATTTCATTGATGCAAAGCATCACACATATCACACATATCATTATTTCGCGCTTTAAATGAAAATTTCGATGTGTGAACAGGGTGCCACCCCCAACCCATCATCTGGATTCGCCCCTGTAACTTCTTTGGTATGTTACCCACTTATGTAGTGTTTTGTGTATCGTACAGGTGAATTTTCGGGAAAAGATGATAAAAAGAAATTTGGCGCAACCGCATTTCGTTGAAATAGATAGCTTTCCTGTGCTGGCGAAACACGAAACTTGTAACTTGTAAACTTGTAAGCTTGGTTGGTTTTAAGTTGGTTTAAGGATAGTCTTGTACCACGCGGAGAACATTAGCTGACTTGTTGCAGAGACAGCTGGTCTGTCCGACAATACCCGGCGGAAAATAATGGCATCAAATAAAGGTAAGACTAATTAACAAGACCTTTATTGGAATGTTTTGTCTCACACGTAGTGTTTGATCTTCGAGTGTGGGCCGTGATTCAGAAAATTAGGAAACTTTAACGTGAAACACAATCTTTATAATTTGAAAAGAAGTATTTCAAATCGGGAGGTATGAACAGGTAGCTTAATATTTTACATTTATTAATACTAAACAATTTTACTGCGTAATTTTAGTAAAATGGGTGGCATAAATCCGCTGTAGGATGACGTATGGAAGATTTAAAGCGAGTCAATTTAAGATATATTCGTAATCGTGGGGATGCACAAAAATAATTTATAGAGGAATGGCTAATTCCAAGAAAAATGATAACTTTCGTAAAAAGCTTTGCCGTTTGAATTTTCTTCAAGTATACATGTTCACATAGTTTCAAGCGATTTAATACTACAGAATTATTCTACCAGAATAAAACAAGATAGTATTATGTATATGCATGTAATTATTATTAAGATGGTGTAGCCGAATTGTGTTAGGATATAAGACACATGCATGCATTTAATATTTAATAACTAAAGACGTCACAGGTGTGTAAACTGTACACAATCCTGCCAAGGAAGTAATATTAAGTCAAATCCTACCCCAAATTGTCTTTATTCATGATAAAATCCCTTAATGCCTCGATGCGCCGAAAGGGAAATAGCCATTTTCCCATTTTTAATTTAACAAATACGATGGTTGAAAGTACTTTTTAGTTAGTAATCTATTCGACGGAATAAAAATTAAGGGCCGACCTGACCTTGACGTTCAAATTAAGAAAATGATCCGTTATGAAATCAAAAGAATGTACGGGAACTTCAGATAGTCAAAATTTACGTCAGATTCATCCAGTTTGTACCAAAATGCATTCAGACAAGACTACAAGACTAGAAAACTGTGCCTTTCTGAGTCGAAACAGCTTTAAACAACCCCTAATTCGTTAAAAACCCTCGCCCCTTTTCTTTTTTCTTCTTTGGGGGGGGGGGGGGTATTTGCATAAAAACTATGCAGATACAAGCCACAGACTAAATATAGAAACAAGATACAAGTACTGTAAATAATCTTTCATTATATTACACCATGTAGATTTGTGAATATTATAACATCATGTTGAAAGATTGAAATTCAATCCGGACTTAACATACATGTATACACTTACATAATTACTGCACAATAATATTAGTCCTCGATAACCTATAAATCTATATCTATGATAATATGTGAATAAAAAAATTAAGAAAATAGCGATTATTCTATTATATTTTACAATTACTGCCTAAAATAAACACATGGTTGTGACGGTGCTCGGGTAATTCGCTAATTATGATGAGTTTTTTATAATTTGAAAACGTATATCCTCTTCGTATGCTTTTCGAAAGCAGTCGACAGTTTAAATCGTATAAACAAACACATTCGTGAATAGATATACATTACAAAATCTGTCATCTTCATTGGCATCAGCTGTAAACAAAGGATTAATATTAACCAAAACTTTTAATTGTGCCACAGTGTAATTATGTGATGGATAATGGCCGAAGACTGTCCATTATGTAAATAGAAAGAACAACTGAGGGGCGTTAGCCCCGAAGTTTTTCTTTGTATTTACATAATGGACAGTCTGAGGCTATTATCAAACTTAAAACATAGCACCATAGAGATACAAATAATGGTTAGTTTTCTAAAACAACAAGCCATAAAATAATGGATATATTCTTAAAACAACATGCACATGCTCATGAATGCACTTGACAAAATACTCCAAGTCATACAATGCAAATACACAGACAGTCCAAAATATTCGACATAGAGACGACATGTTTATAACATAGTTGAAAACAAATATTAACAATAATGAGAATATATGTGATAAGCATTTGGATACTGATTAAATTGGTAGTGTACTCAATATGGAAGATAATAGTCGTAAAAATTGTGATGTTCTTGATATGGGAGAATGATAGCCGTCAAAGTTGTGATTGAAAGGCCGCTCACGAGAATGATTTAGATATTGATAATAATCTTAGTACTGTGCTTAATATGGAGGGTACTAGCCGTTCAAATTTTGAATTAAAATTCAATATATACTCTGATATAAGTGACAAGACACAGGATCAAAGGCACAAACCAATTCACGAAATTCAAACTCAACTGTCATTATGGTGTAACGGTGATATACTTGAACGTTTTTTAAAATCGGATAAAAATTGTGACCTGTATAGGTTCCACAGGCTCAAAACACGTTTTTTTTTATTCAATCAGGGGCCATAATTCAGGAAATTATGGTCCGATATGTGCCAATATCGCAAGGAATCGAGATCTTTGGGTTATAAACACACATGTTCAGTTTCATCAAAATGGGTTAATAATTGTGACCACTAGTGTGTACAGTTGGGGGCCATAATCCATGAAGTTACGGTCCCATACAAGTCAATAACGAAAGGAACCAAGATATTTGGGATATATACCTATATTTCAAGTTATAACCTGTAGAGTGTCCACAAAGGAGGTGTGAAAATGTGGGCGTATAAAAACGTATCATCGATCTAGTGCCGAACGTACTATTAAACGGACAAGTGGCATATAACGGACGGATTTAAGTGCAATTCTTTATGTAGACAAACACGTGAAATCAACATTCGGTCATGTGACATTTCGGTAACTATGAGGTTTTAAAGTTATTTCATGTTCTGTAATTTAATTTGTTCAGAGAATAAATTATCCCCAAATACATGTTCATTTTTCAGATAAGTGTCTATTATTGGTATTTTCTTAAACAAGCGTCTTTTATTTATAAAACTGTCCATTATTTATTAAAAATAATGAACAGTTTTATAAATAATAGACGCTTGTTTAAGAAAAGCGTACATTCTCCTATATACTGGTTGAATACATCAAAGGGTGACGTCATATCTATGTTTTAAATAACACTACGGTTGCACCTTTGTCATAAGTCTGCGTCGCGGGGCCAAATACAGGTGTGACTCTATGGTTTGCGACATAAGCACAACTATAGACCGTGCAGGAATATTCTATGTCACAGCAGCACTTCAACCACAGCTAAAAACAGAATGTGACACTATCCTGTGTCACGGCAGATAATCACAGATGTGACACTATTATGTGTCACTAGTATTCTTCTATATGGCCTTTGATGTTTCACTTAACTAAAAACTTCAATATTCCTAATATTCCGAACTTCGCAAATAAAACCCTTGAACAGTGTATGTTTATATGAGACACACAACAAACTACATTCATGTTTTTATACGTCACGCACACTTAAAAAATTATTAGTTTAAGTAATCTATAGTCTAAGTTCCATAGTAAGACTGTAACATGCTGACAAGAGCCAAAGATACACCCACGGATCAACATGATGGTCTATCTCACCGGCGGCGAGAGTATCACGCTTCTGGCTAAATCTACACGATCCCTATAGAACACAAATCCTTTATAGGAGCTGACAAGAGCCAAAGCTAAGTCCTGCGGATCTACATGATGGTATTTCTGGGAACGCTTTGAGGTATCTTCTATAGTTTCAACCCGCTCACCTTAGGCAGCTGAAAGTGGAAACCAACTTTTTGATTTCCCCAAAGTGTCGAAATAATTCCTACTGATTTGTGGCCCGTGCAGCTTTGTTAAAGCATGGACCTCCCACTGGTTTCCAAAAACATGCTAATATGGAAACTGAGGGGAAAGGGGCGAATGATGGGTGGCCATAACTATTAGTAGACTATGACGTTATCGAACTAGTAAATTTCTAGGGCACTTAATTAACCCAAAATCTTATCCCTGCTTCAGACAAACCATCCATATGTGCAGAGGCAGCTGCCCCGAGCAACTACAATAGTCTATCTGTGCCCTGATACACTAAGCAGAACTTCGACCGGATAGAAACTTTTTACAACCGGAGTTAGCATCTGGAGTCCACCCCCTTTTGTATGACTACTTTCAATGACTTTTTGTTCTTGAATCGCAAACGAATGTCCAGATTTGGTGAATAGTCATGGCAATAAATTAGGAAACTAACCTACGAAAATGACGCCACGGCCTACAGATCTCTTCGAACTGACGTAGCCAAAAATCCAGACGGCCACCCTCATTATTTTTATCAGATGATTGTGACACATTGGACTCTTTGTAATGTTTAATCGGAATGTTTAAAAAAAAGGTTATAGATCAAGGAATGGAATGGATTCAAGATTGAAATCAACGAGGTGAGTCTTGATCCATAGTATGTATTTGATTCCCCGATTAATTTAAAGTTGTGTATAGGTTCAGGTCTTATAGGTCTTTGGAAATATTTAAACTGAAGATAATATGTTCGAATATCTGATTTGTTTGATCTGGGGTAGAGCCAATTTGAGTGCCGTTTTAATTGAATTGAGTTTATCCCTCGGGGCTATGCGCACGTAACAATAGAAATAACAATAACCATGCACGCGCATCAAAATGCCCGATAAACATGTATTGTGTTGAGATTATTTAATCTCATTTAAAATACAGATGTGACGTCACCCTTTGATGTTGGCGTACCATTATTTCAAATAATCGTACGGGCAACTTGCCAATCGTACTTTGTCAAATATTAGACTCGAGTGACGTATTTCACTGTAAACGCACGTGCGGAGTGTCTGTATTTTAAGATGTTTAATGGTCTCGAGCTGAGACATTGCGTAATATATTGTAAAAACACTCGGACCTGACGGTCCTCTTGTTGTTACAATATATTACTTAATCTCTAGCTCTCGACCATTAAACAATACTTAATTCAATGTTTTTGTTTAGAGCAAGTATGGGTTTAAAATTATGTTTTAGCCATTCTTTCGCCTTAAATATACACTATGCGAGAGCTAAATATTAACATGGAAAGACCTTAATTAACACTCGGTGACATCTTATGTGTCGGATTTTCACTGGATTTGAATCCCATTTGTTGCTCAACGCTCATTGATGATTTAATCCAAAAATGGATAATCGCGACTA